CTCTCACACGCACTCACTCCCGTCTGCTTTGACGGACGATGCCAACTCATTTCCCTGCCTGGTCGACTTGGGTGTGTTTTAGTTGGAGATGTTGCAGCAAGATCCACGCTTGGCGCGTCGCCGACCGCGAGCCATCCGCAACAAGCTCATCCAGCTTGGTCTCATGCAGGGTCGTGTTCGAGGCAGCAGCAGCGGTAAGTCAATGACCGCGACATGGTGCTGGCGTGTCGGGAGGCGGGCTGGAAGATAGTGCCACATCTGCCAACTTTGGAATACCCGCCCAGGGTAAAGGACCAAAAGCTTCATTGACGATGGTGTAATGATGACAACACAGGCAAGGGGAAAGGCTCACGCCGCGGGCCTCGACGCTCGCGCCGCGTGCGCCGCTGCATTGGTCGCATGGCAAACTTGGACAGCGAGTTGGCCAGCCAGTTGGATGCAGCAGCTACAGAGCTGCGTTCAATGGGAATGACGGGCCAATTGGCGCTTTCGACACTGATCGAGCGGATGGAGACACGGGCCACAGCCTTGGAAGCTGACAAGGCATCGGATGAGCAGCTCGCCATCTTTCATCCCGACGATGACGATGAAGAGGACATTGCAGAGCTTCGTGGGTTGATGGGTCTCCTCAAATTTGAAGGCGTTGACGCTGAGGCCATAACCGCGTGGCGCATGCCGGCAGACACCAGCGCACAGCATTTGCGTGATCTGATCGATGCCCTGTCGCCACCTGGTGCCCGGACAAAAGAATCAGTGGTATGTGCTTCATGTTTCTGGGCAGCCAGGCTCCCATTCAGGTGGTTTCTGATATCCACTTTTCTTGGGCTGTTTGCTGTTTAGGTGTTGCAAGCCGAGAGAGATGCGGATGAATTTGTGCACAGCAGTTCCGAAGAGGATGCGCCAGCTGAGGACAACGATGATGACGAAGAGGAGGAAGCCGCGTTCACAGATGACGACGATGATACGACAGCTGCGTCGGGTCAGCGGCCGAGCAAACGAGTCAGTGGGAAAAAGGTCAAACAGCGCCGTCGTCGCTCGCGGGGCTCGGGTGCCAAGGGCCCGCACAGCACTGACAAAGGGTCAGACAATGCAGCCTCGGATGACTTTGACTCGGATTCAGAGGACAACGACAACAGTGAAGATGAAGAGCTTCAGGAGAAAAAGCGCCGGGAGGCATTGGCTAAGCTGGTGCAGCGTCGCAAGTATGTTTGCAAGGGGAGGCAAATGGGTTCTGTGAGCTGTGGTGGTGATTTCGCGGGGACTTTTTTTTTTTCAGCAAATGCACAACTCACTCATGAGTTTCATTCGCATGATTTGGCAGTGCTCGCAAGACGACGGCTGAGCTGCATCGCGAGGCCATGCTAGCCAGCAAAGAGACAACCGAGGCCATGGCGGCAGTTGCAACCAGCACGCCATCTTCTGCGCGCACGGGTCGCGTGTTGGCACGCAAAGGTGATGACTCTGACGACGATGACTTTTCAGCCATGCATGTCAGTACTCCTTTGAGGACACATGGTGGGCCCAACGTGCCGCAGACGCCAAGCAGCGGTAAGCTCGACTAGCGGTGTGCGGTGTGCGGTGTCGAGCGCACCATGTCGGGCGCACCCAGTTTCTGAGCTTGTAACCTAATGTGAATATTTTGATATCGTCTCATAGGATCGAGAGTCCGGCGCCTTCAACGTCTCTTGGCCATGTCCGACGATGAGGATGGAGAGGAGGCACAAGGTGCCGTTTCGACTCAAGGTCGACAGGAGGATACGACAAGTCTGCCCAAGCGAATGGCGGCCATCAGCGACGATGAGGACGAGCCCGGGACCATGGACAGCAAGGGCGAAGCGTCATCGGGCGCCCCCCCAGCTAAACGGCCTAGTCCGAGCCGGCCGGTAGCATCACGCGTCTTGAGTGACTCGGAGGATGAGCATTCCGATGTTTCTTCGCGCGCCGTGGGGCCAGGAAAGCGAAAGGCATCTTCGGCGTCACGCGGGCTGGATTCTGACTTGGAGGTAGATACAGGGGCAGCACCCGAGCCCAAGAGAACAGATCGACAAGAGTCTGCATTGGCTCCGAGCCCGTCAGCCTTGTCCTCGGTGGAGGAGGAAGGTGCTTCCGTGGCTGCCGATGCCGTTAACGTGGCTCTGCTGGCAAGCCTCAAGCCGGCACCCAAGCATGGTGACGCTGAATCCAAGCGCGTGTCTACGTTTACCAAGCATGCCCTGCTTTCGGACGACAGCAGCGAAGGAGAGGATTAGGTTTTGACAGTGTCGCCTGTCTGTCAAAGCCGTGGCTTGTTAGCACATGGTTCGCACCTTTGTTTTTAGATGAGCCTGAGTTTTTTTGAGGGTGTGGTGCTGGTCATGTAAAAGTGTGTTCCATCGAAATTCACTGATGATCTTTGTCATTCTCAATTTTACGAGGAAGAGTTTTAAGCTGGGGGGTTGTATATTCGAGCATATGCGTACCAGCACGTCAAATACTCTGTTTGCGCACAAGGCAACCAGGAGATGCTGTTGCGCACCGCCGACATGCAGCTTCGAGTTTCCGTTTCGCACGTTTTTACAAAAAAGATGGTTGCGTGACGGACTCGAGGCATGGGGCATCTTGTGGGTTAAATGGGACGCACCGCACCAAAAAGGACGGCGCTCTAGTCGCGCTTGGGGGCGCCACGCAGGCGGGCCATTTCGCGCAGGCGCAGGGCGTTGACCTTGATGAAGCCCTCGGCCGTCTTGGGGTCGTACTCACCCTCCACGTCCATTGAGACGAGGTTCTGATCGTACAGGGACTTGTCTGAAGAACGGCCCAGGATGTACGTGTGACCCTTGAAGAGACGCATCTAGGTATTGGGGGGAAGCAAGACAGTGTTTTATGACGTGTTTGATGATGGTAGACATAGCGAGGCGATGAGATGTCATCAATGGAAGGAGACAAACATCAGCGAAAACGAAAACAAAACACGAATACACACAGGGCTTGCAGCAAAAGGTAAGTAAACCAACCTCGACGACACCCTCCACGTCCTTTTGGCTATCGGCGATGGCCTTGCGGACAAAGTTGCACTCGGGGCTGAACCAGAAGCCGTGGTAGATGTGCTCGGTGAACTTGACTGAGAGCAGGTCGCGAATCTTGCGGACCTCACGATCCATGGTCAAAGACTCAATGTCGATGTGGGCAGCACGGAGGATGGTGCCGGCCGGGGTCTCGTACACACCGCGGCTCTTCATGCCGATGAAGCGGTTCTCAACAATGTCGATGCGGCCAATGCCGTGCTCGCCACCAATCTCGTTGAGGTAAAGGTACATGTCCAGGGGATCCGTCTTGACCACACCATTGTCCTTGTTGGTCACCTAGCCAAAATCAAAATCAAGGACAGGGGCAAGGGGCGGGTGAGGTAAAGAGCTCTTGATAAAGTCCGCCCCCTCCCGGTTCAGACCGATCTTGGGAATGCCTGAGCCGACCTTGACGGGAACACCGGCCTTGAACTCGATGACGATGTTGGCAGGGGCATCGGGGGCCTTTGCCGGGTCCTTGGTCATGGTGTAAAGGTCAGCCTCGGGGGCGTGAGCGGCGGGATCTTCAAGCACACCAGACTCGTAGCTGAAGCAAGGCCACGGGGGAAACAGAGTGGATGAGGTGCCGAGGGACGGGCAGAGCGTTTCGCACGTGCGGAAACAAAAGATCATTTTCCTCACCTGACGTGCATGAGGTTGGCATCCATGGACCAGGGGCTCTTGGGAGTGACGGGAAGGGGAATGTCGTGAGCCTTGGCATACTCGAAGAGGTCCTTACGGCCCTGGAAGCGCTTGTAGAAGCTCTCGTCACGCCAGACCGAGATGACCTGGATGGACGGCTGCATGGCGTAAAAGGTCAGCTCAAAGCGGATCTGATCGTTGCCCTTGCCGGTGGCGCCATGGGAGACGAACTGAGCGCCCTCCTGGATGGCAATCTCAATCTGACGACGAGCAATGCAGGGGCGGGCAATGGCTATACCAAGGGATTGATGAGGGTTGACAAGTGCACCAACAAAAAGTGCCCCCTCAAAGGTGGCCAGGATGGGGCCAGTGGAGAGGGAGATTACTCACCGGTGCCCATGAGGTAGCGGTCCTCGTAGATGCTGTTGGCCTGGACGGTAGGCCAGATAAACTCGGTCACAAACTCCTTCTTCAGGTCCTCGATGAAGACCTTCTTGGCCCCGAGCTTGGTGGCCTTGGCGCGGGCAGCCTCAAAGTCCTCGGCTTGACCGATATCAGCCTTGTTCGTTGCATGGCAGAGGGCAAGATAAGAGAGAAGAGAAAGAAAGCGAGGGAAGTCAAAGAGGTAGGAGGATTGTCTCGATCATCGGTGCGGGGGAAGGAGGCGAAAGCTCAAGGAGGAAGGGGGCATACCATGTAGGCGATGACTTCATAGCCCTGCTCGATGAACCAGCAGAGAATGCACGAGGTATCAAGACCACCGCTGTAGGCAAGGACGACGGTGCCCTTGCTGCCGGGCTCGACCTTGGCACGCTTCTCTTCGGGGGCAGACATGGTGGCAGGTGCTCGAGAGGGATGACAATAACGTCTACTAGGCAGGAAGTGGCATAAATGAGGACATGATAGGCAAGGGGAAAAAAAAAAAAGGCAGCGTCCAATCACTGCATTGGGCGTTGCTAGCGAGAAGTCAGGAAAGACTGGACAACGTCAAACCAGATGATGCATGTATGTGAAGAAAAAAATGCAGCTGGGCTCGTGTGTGAACGTGTGTGAGGTCAGGATCAGGTCGGGTGGTTCACGAGCATGGCAACGTTCAGGTGAAGAGCGAGGCACGAGATGTTTGACAGGAAAAAACCCAACACCGGAGCGGGCGGGAAAAAGAGTGAAGAGGTAAGGGAGCAAAGCCAAGCAGCCAGGTGGATAAAGAGACCATGAGAGCCCAAGCAAAGGCATGCCAAGGTATGGGGAAGAGCCATCACCCTGAAAGTGGGGGCATCGGGCAACAGCAGCAGACATGACGACGCTGCCAGTGTGCCTGGCAACAACACGTGCGCGCAGTGGTTCAGTGCACACACATAGGGCATCCATCACACAAGCACGACAGGGACTTGAAAGAGAGAAAAAGAAAAGCCCCAACGATAATAGAGGAGGTGGGGCAGGTTGAGAGGTCGTGTGTGGGTTGCTGTGACGAGGGTCGGTGGACGGCGTACAGCGAGGCCGCTGCCGTTTTGACTGCCTCTGCTGCAATCGGAAGACCACACACACACACACACTTGTTGTTATGGTCATGAAATGGGGGTCTCACTGGATCGAGCATTCGAAAAGAAGGATCAAGGGTGTGTGTAAAACCCCATCATAGCCCTCCCTTTGCCGATTCTCGGCACGATCGTCGCGTTCCCGTGCCACCAGCGCGGCTGCCATTTGCGCACTCGCCGCGACGTACTCACTGGCGAAAGAAAAATAAAACAGAGAGAGAGAGAGAGAGAGAGAGAGAGAGAGAGAGAGAGAGAGAGAGAGAGAGAGGGAGAAGGAGCTTGAACTTGAGAGAGAGTGTGTAAACCGGGTGCACTTTCAGAGACAGAGTTCTGTGCGCGTTGGTGTGAAAGTTATTCTACAAGCTTGAAATAGAGAGATGAAGTGGGACTGCGCAAAAGGCAGAGATTACACGAAACATGGCCATCTGTTTGCGTGATGTAGAGAGATGAAATCCAAAGTTCGTCATCTTTCACCGTTACCAAGAAGTAATTTACTTCAATCTAGAACCTCAACACAAGGGGAAATGAGGCTTTATCGTTGTCGAGAATAAAGTATTTTCCGGGTGCTTGGGCAAAGGAATCGCACAAGATGTGGTGATGTCACATGGGCTTACTGAGAAAGTTACTTTAATCTAAACTATAATCCTCGGACATTGATGTATAAAGTTTGTTGTGACTGAATTCGTCTGCTCTCAGGTAACGGTCAAAAAAGCTTGGTGGTGTCATCTACATGTGATGGGCGCGCTTGGCCGCGGGCTGGCAGATATCAAGAGAAGGATCGGGGGGGGGGAGAATGGGCCATGAGATTATGCGGCAAAGGGGGTGGTGCGTAGGGGCGTCTCAGGTGTATTGGAGAGGGTTGGCACCGACCTTGTGGCGGTCTTCGTTGGTAGGATTGCCGTCCAATAGCGTGCGCCGTACACCACAGACTTTGGATAAGCTGGGCAGACAACAAGACGTGAGAGCACGGCTGGCCAGTCAATCGGCACGCAGGCAGACAAGCCGGCAGGGTGGACGGGCGCTTGGCTACTGACTCGGCCGACATGCGGGCAATGACTCGGTTGCGCCGCTTCTCGTCTGCCATGCCGCACACCTTTTGCAGGTAATCGGACAAAATTTCCACCTCGGCACGACAATCGTAGCAATAGTCGAGCCCTAGGCCACGGTCGAACAAGGTGAAACATAACCGTGAGCACGCAAACTCGGTGCAATGATGAGCCAGATCGGGGGGCGAGATGCATGCACACCACCAGGCACACACCTTGCCCGCTGACAGCATGATCGTAGCGTGCTACGCGGCGCACCGTATTAAAGTGAAACATGCGTTCTTCGTGCCTAGCAATGGCACGTTACGAGGGCAAATGAGTGTACGCACGCCAACCAAGAGAATTCCACCCAGGTGGTTCTATTGGTCTTGTGTATGGGGTCAAAGGGCACGCGGTCGGGTCAACCAACTCAAAGTGGACATAGGGCCTCAAATCGCTCGAGTTGCCGTCTGGAATGAGCCGGCATTCCGTTGTTGTGACTGCCCCCCAGACCGGAAAGCGCAGCTCGCCTAATGGGAACGGGGGGGCGGGGGATGATGTACCGAGATGCATGAAACTCCGGCGCCGGAAGGCCAGTGCCTCAGCCAAAGCGCAGAGCCTCACCGGCAAAGTAGCTGGTAGAGCCCTTTTCCCAGGGAAGGCGGAAGGAGAGAAAGCTCTTGCGGGGTCGCAGATGGACGTGCAGCATGCGCTGGTTCTCCAAATATTCCTTGAGGAGATCGTCTTGTGACTGTCAAGCAGACACGGTATATCAGCATTGCCATCAGACTCGAAGCACTCGATCACGGGGGGAAGGGGGTTATCAAGTCTATCCGCTTGCTCCACGAACCGTTTCGTTTTGAATTTGCTTGACCGGTTTGATCTCGGAGATGAAGAGCAGGTTTTGATCGGCAAACTCGGCGGTCTGGCCCACTGTTAGCGCGGTCTGAGAAGGGAGGCCCGACGTGTTGTGAGTGGGGCCCTGTGTTTGAGTCCAAGGTGAGTGGCTGAAGCCCTCTTCTTCACCCACCTTGCGCACATCGATGGTGGGCTCATCGTGGATGTGCAAAAGGTCATCGGGATCAAAGACCACAAACTAGATTGGGACGCAGGGTACAAGCCATGTGAGCGGACCAAAGTCAAGAAGCGAGCTGGACCAGCTTCCTGGCTGCCCGTTCAAGCAGCGGCGGGCACACCTTGAGTTTGGGGAAGCATTGGGCGAGAAAGGTGAGCGTGTTGGTAGAGCCACGGCCCGTGTAAATGACAAGGTTGGCGAGCTCGTGATAGCAGGTCAAAAACTCGAGGGCCAGGATGCTGGATTCGCGCTGGCCCCAGTGAATCACTGTCCGCCAGGCAAGGGTCAGCCAACGTGAAAAGAGCGCGGAGTCTTGGTCTCGGTGCAAGGGGAAAGAGAAGCTGAGGGCAGAAAGGGTGGGCAAGCACACGCGCCGGGTCTGACCAGATTTGACTTCCTGCTTGCGGCGGCGGTAGGGCGCGCGTTCCGAGTCGAGTTTCATGATGCGCGTAAAGGGCAAGTCAAGCCTTGACTCGTAGTTGGCCTCGGGGTTGGCGGTGACCTGCACATTGACAGGAGGCCCAGGGGGACAAGAACCAGTTTGTCATCACAGTCATGAGTGCCGGTGGCTTTGGTGACACGGGAGACCGCTCGCGCTTGTGTGGTGTGCGGAGACCTGAATAATGTGGCGATTCGATGCGACTGTGTTCAGGTCAGCTGCTTGATTGGGTTTTCCTGCGCAGCCGAGCAGCGGCGAACACAGTGAGCTCGTGCATGGTACGATCCGAGGTGGCAATCTGAGCTCCTGCCAGCCCCTGTACGTCATGCAATGGCCCCCCCAAAAAAAGCAAAAAGCAAAAAAGCTCGACCACCCGAATCTGAGCTGTGCTCCTTCCTCTCCCAACCGCCGCCGCCGTCACCGCCGACTTACTTCGCGGGCGAGGGATCTTCCAAACGCTAGTGTCGGTAATGGGGTTGTAAAAGTACCAATGCTGCCGGCTCTCCGACCACACGGGACGCCAGGGTGGCCAATGCCGCGGCTTCTCCCGCTCCTCCGTCACCCCATCTCCCATCGTCATTGTTGTGCTCGCCGCCACCGTCTCCTCCTCCTCCTCCTCCTGCTGTTGCCGCTCCTGCTGCTCCTGCTGCTGCTGCTGCTGCTGCTGCTGCTGCTGCTGCTGCTGCTGCTGCTGCTGCTCATCATCAGCTTCCATCTCCATTGCACCGGTGAGATGGAAAAAGTAGTGAGAGAGAGAGAGAGAGAGAGAGAGAGAGAGAGAGAGAGAGAGAGAGAGAGAGAGAGTTTGAGAGAGAGAGAGTTTT